GCATCTCTTGGCAAGACATCACTAGTTTTGACATCTCTAATCAAAACTGCCATCCCTCATGACTTTTGGTTCTTTCTGAGGACAGCATTTTTCTTTTATATTTATTATCTGTCTAATATATAACTTTAACTCTGCATTTTTATATTTTCTTTCAAATATTCATAGGCACAATGAACATTAAGGTAGGATTTAGATGAATGGTTTTACTCAAAGTCACATAGAAATTGTGATTGAGAGTTTCCCAGCTGGAGTATCAAACTAAAACACTAGTATTTTGCACTCATAATGAATTAATAGTATGTACTACAATTCAAGGAGACAAGTTATTCCTGTGAGAAGAAAATTCACACAGGAGTCAAATCATGTTTTAAAATACAAGTTTACCCTTAGTCTTGGGTAAAACTTCCTTGAAAGATTGGATAACATGGGGATGTAGCAACTCTAATTAAACAAACACAAAATGGACCTTTTCCTGCTTTCCCAACAGGATACCTTCAAATTCCCTAGTAAACTTTACATCCCAATGAAATGAAGGTTTCTTTAGTAACAAATCACATCCATACTTTAAACCTGAATATGAATGTAGATGGCCAACTATCTTGTGTCTCTTGTAAAGTGTTAATGTTAACTTCATTCCTCAGTTTTAAGAATGCAAGGTCCACGTTTTCATGTTAGCCTTATTGTGTAGCTTAAATATTTTTTAACTTAATGCTTTCAAATTTTTATACATGAAACAGTATTTTCACCATTTTCTAATTTTCTCTACCCCCTTCAACTCCTTTGTACCTCTCACTCCCTCTCCAATTTATGACCTCTTCTTTAATCATTTTTACACACACACACACACACACACATGCACACATACGTATAAATAAACTAGTGACTTCATTTAGCATCGATTGTGTACATATGTGTGTAGGGATGACTACGTGGGAGCTGATAATCTATCAGAAGGCTTATTCCTGGAAAAGATTCCTTCTCCCTCTCAGAAGACATTAATTGTCTATAGTTCTTCATCTGGGAGTGAGACTTTGTGAAATTTCCCTCACCCACATTGTCATGGCAAGTGGTGTTGCCATTGTGAAGGTTAAATTTGGAAGCTGTATTGTTGATATTTCATGGTTACAGCTTTCCAGTCATGTACAGAAGAAACTGTCTCACAGCAGATGTCCTGATTCTCTGCCTCTTACACTATTTCTGCCCCTCTTCTGAGATGTGCTAAGCCTTATGTGTAGGCGTTGTATTGTAGATGTAGCAACTGAGGCTAGGCACCCCACAATCTGTTGTTCTCTGCATTTTGACTGGTAGCAAAGTGCTTTAGTAGTCCCATCTGCTGTAAATGAGGAGTGGAAGCTACATTTATCTGTAGGTATAGGAATAAATATTTAGAATGCAGTCAGAAATTATAATTTTTCATTATTTTTGAAATTTTAAGTACATTTCCATTTTCCTCCATGCAAATCCCCCACATGCCACTCTACTCTCCTTCAAATGCACAGCCCCTTTTTATATCAATTATCATTGCGCACATATATTTTACATGTATATACACAAATATTCCTAAATATGACCATGTACTGTTACTTGTATGTATGTTATCATGGATGATCATTTGACACTGGATAACCAATCAATGTGCTCTTCCCTGGGGAGAACCAGTTCCCAGCTTCATTCAGTTACCTGTAGTACTTTGTGTTGGGTTGAGGCCTCCTGGGCATTTCCTCATCCAGTCTGCCATATCTGTTGGTGTCATCCTTGTTCAGCTCACATTTGGACAATTGTGTTGGTGAGACTTTACAGGATGCAGTTCAGCTACTGCTAAGAGACAGAATCTCACTGCAAACTCCCTGATGCTCTTTCTCTTACATTCTTCACATACTTTTGCACAGTGTTCCCTGAGTCTTAGGTATGGGAGTGTTTGGTAGATGTGTGCATGGGGACATTAGAAAACTACAGCTGATCAATAGGCAGAATTTTGGAGCACAGTCCCAGAAACTAGAAATTATACTCTTCTTTTAGAAAAGTGATAGTAGTATATTCTCCTCTGGAGTCCATAACATTTAAAGTCTTTTTAATTAACCCATTTATTTTGTGTTGCAATGCTAGAGCTTGAGGTCTGGAGTCTTCTACTCCTTCACCACCTTATTTTATGAGGCAGGGACTCTAAATAAGCCTGAAGCTCACCACTTCAAACTGACTGGATTGCCACCAAGTGCTCAAGGTCCACCTATCAATCCTGTCCCCAGCACTTGGACAGTCACATGCTTCAGAGCTGAGCTTTCACTTGAGTGTTAAGGTTCTGAATGCATTCGGTTATATTTACACAGAAAACACTTTACACACTCTGCCATCTCTCTGGCCCCATTCAATTCATTTTGGCAAATTAGTTCATTCACATTAACTACTCTCCTATTGAGATATTCTGTAGTCTATAAAAGAAGTTCCAAGATGAAGCTCAGATCTAGAGATCTGTGGGAAGAGATGGCTGCACAGCTTAGCACACAGTCTTGTGTTAATGATTCATTATTTTGAAATGAAACACAGCAAAATCAAAGGGGTAGATAGTGATGTGTGAAGGACACATACAAGCTTCTAACAGTCTTTCCTCCTGGAGTCACACAAGACCAGCCTAAATCCTCTGTCAGAAACAGTGAAATACCCATGAGAATCAGAATCCCTGGTTCATGGTGGGTTTTGTCACAGAGACATATACTTCTATTCATGCATAAAACTTTTGGGACTCTAATAAAAGGAAGCAAGAATTCAGAATTCAGCTTAGACAAACTTTGCAACAGTTTAAGCTGGTGAGCAATGCCAACATCATTCATACAGATTAAGATTTCTAAGGATTAGATCTCAGACCTGATGTCCAAACAGATTTGTATATTGCCAATGTAAGTTAATCTTACAATAAATGTATGTTATAAAGAAGTAAATTTTCTTAATTTGGTAATTTGTATATATGGAGTCACACTGAATAACATAGTGCTATTTAATGATTTAATTTATAGAAATATTTGATGCTTTCTAAAAATCGTGGGTTTTGATTTATTATCTATCATATATAACAGGCAACACGATGTATCTTAGACACTGTGGCCACAGCTAGTGTGAGATAATTTTCACATGGTTTAGACACCGGGAAGTCTATGGAAAAATCACAATCGACAACCCCAGGGGAAAATTCAGACTAACCTGAATTGATTTCTGGCACGTTCTGAATGTATATTTGGATTGAACTGAAGCCAGAGGAAAGGTGAGTGGAAAAGTGGTTTCATTTCCATAAATGATTTTATGCTTCTTGATTCATGTGATCAAGACACTTTCCCTCTCCTCTTTGTTTTTAAAAATACTTGCTCATCTTCCAGAGTCTAAGGAAACAAATCCTTTTTGGGGATGGGGGGGGGACTTTTATTTTGTTCTATTTTACCTTTGTTTTCAATATATCCCGATCTCAGTTTCCCCTCCCTTCTCTTCTTCCAGTCCCCTGCCTTCTTGCCCAGATCCATTCCTCCTCCATTTCCCTTCAGAAAAGAGCAGGCCTCCTAGGAATTTTCAATGGAATGCAGCATAAAAAGATGTAATAAGACTAGGTATAAACCCACATATAAAGTCAGGCTGAGTAAACCCAGTAGGAGGAAAAGGGTCCAAAGAGCAGAAGAAAGAGGCAGAGATATCCTCCCCCTCGATCCCACTGGTAGGAACCCCACAAAAACTCCAAGCAAACAACCATAACGTATATGCAGAGGATCCAGTACAGACCTGTGCAGGCTTTGTGATTGCAGCTTCAGTGTTTGTGAGCCCCTATGTGCAGAACGTGTTCTCCTGGTGTCCCAGACCCCTCTGGCCCTTACAATTCTTCCTCCTATTCTCCCATGGGGCCTGAGATCAAGGGTATGGACCCAATGGAGATCTCCAATTTGGGATCTCTCCTCTCTCTTTCTCTCTCTCTCTCTCTCTCTCTCTCTCTCTCTCTCTCTCTCTCTCTCTTTCTCTCTGACAGATGTTTGGCTGTGGGTCTCTGCATCTGCTCCCATCAGCTGCTGGCAGTGGTCTCTCTGATGACAATTGTGCTAGGCACCAATCTATAAATACAGCAGAATATTATTAGGAATCATTGTAGTGATTTTTTTTCTCTCTATCCTAGGTATCCTTTTTATCCTTTTGTACTGTGAGATTTTCTTATCATGAAATATTTTGCCTTTAAATGTGCTAATGCCTTCCTCCCTTTTCCATATACATGAGGAATGCTATAATTTTTTAAAGTAAAAAAAAAAAGTAAAACTTCATTTTCTACAGCTTAAAGCATTAAAGTTTGTAACAAAAAAGAAAGTAACTTTTACAAATATTTTATGCTCATTCAATACCACTTTATACTCATTAAAATAACTCTCTCCCATATTGATGCACTCTCAATAAATTAGCTCATTCCCTTCACGCGAAGACTGCTACTGATTAAGTTGAATTTTTCAAATTTTAATTTTTAATAATTTTTTCCACTTCTGATAATCACAACAAATGCAGAAATCCACATTTTATTAATGGACAACCCTTTGAGCCTTCCTGAGTGAATATTCTTCATAATTTTGTACTATGATTCCTGTACATATATAGATCTAGCCCTCTGAGCACTTGTAATGAAATAAAACAAGACTTGGTGACAGTCTTAGACTTCAAAATAATTCCATTCAATTTCAAAAGCTTTAATTTTCTAATTCTCTAATCTCTAGCTATGTTGGTAAATTTTATGTGTTGAGGATTCCAATTAAATACTTGTCAGCATCACAGCAGCTTATCTTTATACCAGTTACTTTTCTTAAAGTACCAATGATTCAGCCTGAGAAGAACATAAATACTCTGCATGACATACAGTAAAGCTTAAGCAACTTTGTGAAGAAAATGCTGTAGTGTAATCCATGTCTTTTTTTTTCCCCTTGTAGTGAATCTTCAATTTTAAACGTTTATCTACTTCTGTTATTCATTCATTTAATTTGTTTTGTTTGTTTCTGACCATCCCTGGAGATACTGCAATATCAGGTAGATGCATGGAGTGGATGGGGACAGAGCAATCTCCTATTCCAACTCCTACTTTCAAAAATCCATTTAATTTATATTGTCCTTGGATAGAGGATATCACATATTAAACTGATAAAAACAGATACTACATTTGATCTTTTACAAAAAGGCTGAGAAGCAATTATTTCTATTTTGAATCCCAATTATTTATCTTTTGAAAGTTAAAACAGAATATACGGTATGTACTAAAAATCATAATTCTTCCTAATATGAATTTTTATTATGTATTTACAGACAGCAATTTTGGGGTCATGGTTATTTTCATTAGACGCATTCATGCATAAGCAGTAAAATATAATACAATGCATATTTTTCAAATTTATTCTAAGTCATTAGACCTTGGAGTATATCTAAATTATATACATATCAAAAATCAGCTATTGTTTAGGTAATTTATTCAAATATAATGATTACTACTGTAGTTTGCATCTGTGATGTAAGGAAACACTGAACAACATTAAATTGGAACAGGAAGGGTTTGTTTGGACTATAGGTAATACCCGATTATTGAATTCAAGACAGAAACTGAACCAAAAACTTCTAGTATTCAGGAATCTGCACTGGCCTGCCCTTGAGGTTCTGGATGCAAGCACAAGGCTACCAAACATGTCCAGGTGATGCTGTGGAGATGGGAAAGGATCGGGTGCTTTAAGCCTAAGGGAGTAGATTTGGATCCACCAAGAATGGCATTTTGCAAGACCAGGAGGCACCCGATGGTTCAGAAGAGCCAGGACAATAAAGTAAAACACTCAGCTTTCCAGGACATGGCTAGCAAACCACCTTTCTCAGGTGAGCAATGCCACCCAGGTCAGCAGAAGCAGAAGGTAGTCTTGAGAACAAGGTGTCCTCATCCCTGTCTCACCTGCTACCCCTTTCTAACTCTTCATCTTTTTACAATAAAAAGAGAAGACTGTTAGTATTCAGGCATCTGTACTGGCCTGTCCTTGAGGTTCTGATAGGATATGATCTCAGCTACAGCCACTAAGAGCACCACCTGTGCAAATTCACTGTACTCCCTTTTTTAAAGGCGCTGTTCATTTCCCATCCTCCTCTCTTTCTTCCTTTCTTCCTTTCTTTCTTTCTTCCTCTCCCTCTGTCTGTTTGTCTCTATCTATCTATCTATCTATCTATCTATCTATCTCTGTCCCTCTTTCCTCTCCCTGGCTGTCCTGGAGGCTGGTCTTCTCCCTCCCCTTTCCCCCTTTTTATGGTCCCTTTCCCTAATAAAAATCCCTCTGCTTGGACCCTGTCACATTGAGTCTTTCTCTGGAGTGTGTGCTTCTTTTCATAAATTACAGCAGAACCCATAGAAGAATGTTGCTCACTGCCTCATTTCCATGCTTATGTCACCTTTCTTATAGCTGCCTAAAGATGGTAATATCTACAGTGGACTGGGCCATCCTACATCAATCAGCAATCAATAAAATGCCTCACAGACATATTCACAGGCAAATCTGATGGGGACAATTTCTGGTTTGAGGTTCCTTCTTCATGGGTGTGTCAAGATTATACAAAAATAAATATTATCAAACACACTCTTTACTAAAACACACTTTAAAAAAAATAAAATTATGGATAAGACAAACTGAAAATTTGGGTACATATCTAGTTGATATCCAAGGGAGACCTGCCCCTTTCTGAACAGAAATGGAGGAGAGCTGGATGGGAGGGTAGAAATGAAGTAGGAAGAAGGAATAGTAGAAGAAAAGGGAGGGGAAATTGTGGTCTGGATGTAAAACAAATAGATTTAATTAATAGAAATTATGTACATTTTTAAATGTTAGTGATGATCTGAGAAGTATTAAAATTTAAAATTTTCTTTGCATTCCTACTGAACATAACTCTATTCATGACTTTTTAAAGCTTGTGTGTGTGTGTGTGTGTGTGTATTGCTGGAGATCATTTTTACTTTGAAAACTAACCAGCTTTATATTTCTCACTTGATATTTCTGACATGCAAAATAACACAACTGGTAACAATTACCTTCTCCAAAGCCAATGGTGAGAAACACAGGTAGAATTTTGAACCAAGAAATATCAATCTAGAGTACCCTGTTTTTTAAAATGTATCTTATAATTTTTGAGATTTTTATACATGATCACTATAGTTCCTTCATTTACAAACTTCCTTCTCCTCTTTCCAACTAATTCCATGTCTTTACTTACTCCTTCTCAACTTTATGACCCCTCTCATTAATCATTTCAACAGACACACACAATTTTCTGAGTCATTTATTGTTGTCCATATATGCATATATTTAGGGCTGACAATTTGGGATTAGATAACCTATCAGGGCACACATCCTTGGAGAAAATTGATTCTTCCTCTTTCAAAAGCAATTAATTGCTTGTGTGCATTCATTGAGAGGTGAGGTCCAGTAAGATTTCTTGTTATGAGTTTTCCCCGCTGGTCTGGTCCCACTGCCGCACCAGCCCCAAATAACACACAGAGACACTCTATTAGATATAAAGCTTTTGGCCTGTTACTAGTTTATTATTATCTAGTTCTATCTTAAGAATTAACCCATTTCTATTAATCTAAGTATTTCAACGTGGTCTCACTTTACCAGAGAGCAGGGCTGGTGGTCTCTCCGTCAGTCCACCATCTTGAATCTCCTCCCTACTACTTCCTCTCTTCTCCTTGTCTCCTAGTCCTGCCTATCTTGCTTTCCTATTGGCCAACAGTGCTTTATTCATTAATTAATATGAGAAACATATTTACAGAATGACATTTCCCATCATCTCCTCTTTTCTGTATAAAATAAAAAGAAGGGTTTTAAACTTATCATACAAAATATATCACACAACAGTTATCAAATAATAATCACAGTTAACAATATTTAATCCATTAACATTTAATAGGATTTAAAGAAAATAGTCTATCATCTATCCTTCTTTGTGAGTCTAAAGTCATATATGTAACTTACCTTTAATCCTAACTAAGGAAAACTATAACCATAACTATCTGTCTTTATTCCCTCAAAGACCACAGGAGGATAATATATAAACTCTAGAATGACAGAGATAGCTTGCCTGGTCAGTCACCCAAAGTTCTGTAATGTTCCATCTTCAGCCTATAGGCCATATTATGTCTGGAAGACTCCTCAGTAAAGCAGGAAACTTTAAACTACCTGTATTGGCAGTTTGTCAGTCACTTTTTTTCTGTGTCCTGCAGAATGTCTAGCAGACTTTTCTTCCATGAAGCAGGAACCCTACAGCAATGTATTAGCAGTCACTTTCTATGGGTCCTGCATATCCAGTTTGTATAGCATAAAGAAAAACAGTCCAGACAAGAGCAGCATCTTGCCAAAATGGCTAGTTTTTCCATATCAGAGGCAAACTCCATAACTAGTTTCTTTGATGTCCATCTTCCTTTCTGACACAGATGTGTTGCCAGAAGCAGTTATGTCTCACTGTTAAGAAAAACCCTAAACCATTTTAAATGCCATATTCTGCAGGTCTTTGAAAGGTTTGAAGAATGCCTATCCATCTCAAATACATCTTGAAAACCTAACTTAACTCTAAGTTTTGACTATCATAGGTAACTGTCTATAAACTGTACTAATTATACATTACATTTCTAAATGAGCTAGAGGTGAGTCTGGGACCAATTTGGGTAGACTCTCCACTAAACCCTTTCCCTGGGAATTCCCTGGGTTGGCCCCGGATCTCCCTGCCCCTGTGTCCTGTCCACATCAAGAGCACTCTTGGAGCTCTGATACACCCCCCACCCACCCCTACTGAGAGCCTGTCCTCCCCCTACCCTGTGCCCTACCCTGCGCACTATCCCACCGCTCTGGTTGAGCACTGGGACAGAGGGTGGAGCCAACAATCCAGCCACCTAAGGGGAACATCCAGGAGAGGCTCTGAGCACACTAGACCTGCCTATCCACATGGAACCACCCATAATTTCCACCTGCCTGGACTCTGACCTCCACTGCTGGTCCTCTACTTGAGTTCCCGGCCCCTCCCAGAGATCTGCCTATCTCTGTGAGACCACTCTGAGTTCCTGCTGGCAGGATCCTTGACCCCCATAGCAGGGCCTATGCTAAAGAGGCCTCAGCTGGAGAGTGCCAGGCCCAGACTAGATCTGCCTATAGTCATGAGGAACATCCTGAGTCCCAGCCTTAGGGATTTTTGACTCCCCATTGCCAGTGAGGAAGCCCAGCTCAAAGGTACCAAAAACATATTCAACAAAATCATTGAAGAAAACTTTCCCAATCTGAAGAAGGACATGCCCATGAAAATATAAGAGGCATACCGAACACCAAATAGCATTTTTAAAATATATAAATTGAATTAACCCAGCAGCATTTCCTTTAACAGTTGTTATTATTTCCTCAGCAATCAAAAGACACAAAGACAATATAAAACTGTACAGTATCCAGATTCTCTCTGTGCTTTCTACCTTTGCATGGCTTGCTATTACTCTATTTCTTCTACTTCTAATTTTTTTTTCATTTTTTGAGACAGGGTTTCTCTGTGTTATTTGTATCTGTCCTGGAATTAACTCTGTATACCAGGTTTATTTTGAAATCACAGAGATCTGCTTGTCTCTGTCTCCCGAGTGCTGGAATTAAAATTGTGTGCCACCACACTCAGCTGCTCTCACTCTTTTCATTATTTTTTAAACCATTTTATCCTGTTTCTGTTTCTCTCCCAAGCGTACGTATATTTTTAAACACACTGTAAATCTTTAGAGGTTTTTCTTAATCTGACTCTGTCTTTACTGTAAATCTTTATCTTTTTTGGCCATGAGTCTTTTATCTGGTAAACAACAACATTGCTAAAATGAAAGCCACAGCTGTATTAGCCATGGTCTATCAAAGATGGTGGTGGGTACTTTTACCACCAGAACTGAGAGCTGTGCTCACTGCCTTGGTCTACGCTGCTGGCTTGGAGATGTGGTCACTGCCATTGCTAGCTCTCATACACACCATTCAGTTGTTAGCAGAGTTCTTTAAAAGCTTTGCAGTTTTTTGCCGCTTATGCTGAGTCAGGAAAACTCCCTTAAGGGAGCCGCGCAAATTTCTGCTTGTCTCTAGCAAAACAGGGACCAACTGAGAAAAATGCTGTTACCAAGAAGCCTTGCTTATCTCTGTTCTTTTGTTTCTAAACCACA